TAATGTTGATCAAGCAGTCCACCTCAACATCGCTAGACATGTCTGTTTGGTCTATTGAGAGTCTAAAGTCTAAAGTGGTTTATCCCTCGATCCATGTTTACCTCCCCAAGGCTCGAATTCTTGGAACAGCAAAACTCAAAGCATGTCCTACACTTTTCACGAATCTTGCATCTATCCTTTTGTGTCCTTGCTTCTGGCACATCTTCTGTGGCTTTCAGAATCTCTTCAGCCAGCTTAGTCGGGTTTGGAGACTCTGCCAGCATGGATGCACAAAGACATTCAAAGCTACCCGGTTTGGCATTATGTTCACCTTCAAGAAGATTGGCGGTCGCTGCAAACAATTTGGCTTGTGGTTCATTGATGAAGGGATCTCTGGGAAAGAACCATGTTGATCCTACCCGTGACTTAGAACTTGTCCTTTGGTATGGGCACTCGTTCCAGTCGTCCTTGTGGACAGAGACCTTCCCTCTGCACTTCCATTCTGTGAGACGTTCATGAGAAACATCACTTACGTCAAATGGGCAATCTCTTCCTAGGGGTGCGAAAAGCTTCTCTCGAGGTCTCATGAACCCGTTCCACGCTTTCCTATCCGTGTTGAACTCCCAAAAATCCCCATCCCCGCCCCCCTTGGACTCTGACAAATCCAAAGCTGGCATCGCGGGAGCGCTGGGCGCCGATTCACAAACCGCAGGGGTACGAGGGGTTGGTGGAACCTGCTGCAAGTCGCTCCTCTTCCAGGCACACTCGGAACCTCTCGTGGCATTCATCTGTGCGCGGCACTCCTTCAGCTATCCGCTCACATCCTCTACAGCCTGGGGTTACACCATACTTTTTGGCCCTTTCCAAAGTCATATATGTCCGTCTTTTGAACACTTTAGGCTCAGGAGGGTCACCTTCGAACGGCAGCGATTCCTTGGGTTCTTTCGAGGGATGTGTGATCGTTGGTTTGAAAAGCTGCAACTGGTTCATCTTTGCGAACAGTGGGAAGACCCAATTTGCCTCGGTGCGTTCAACAAGCTCTGACTTGTAGATTTGAATGGACCTGCCACTACCCGTGGCTTTTGAAAGAAGACTCTGGACATCTCGGTGATGAAACCCTGCATCAATCCTCCAACCCACAAAGATGCCTGGATATGTCCTTGGCTCGAATGCGGGAAGTTCACGGTGTTTTGGAGGTTTGTAGTATACAAGGCAACCAAATGGAAGTCTCAACCCAGTGAATGCTTCACCTGCGGCAGCTTCATAGCAAGACTGAGTGCTCTGTTCAATCTTCTTTTCATCAGACTCGTTTGGGTGAATCTGAGCTTGGTTGGTGATTGCGTGAGCTACACAGAAATACTCTACTGCTCTAGGCCAGTGCTGATGATCCAAACCTGATTTCAAAAGAATTGCTCTTGCGCCTTCCTTTATGGAACGAATGCTTCTTTCGAGTTTGGCGTTGTGTACGGGGTCATTTGGAACACTAGGACTTGGCAACCAACCCAAATACTTTACAGCATCTATAAGTTCAGTCGCTGCATCTGTCTTTGTGATACAGAGTGCTTTCCCATGTTTGTACCTCCGAACGCTTGCAAAGCCCGATGTTTGCGTCTGTTGTCCTAGTTGTTTGTGGAAACGCTTGTAGACAACCCGAATACTCATCAAAACACACTAGACAAGCCTGTTCAGCTTTGGAACCTTTGGACAAGTCTTTGCCAATGATGATATGATCTGCTCTTAACCTATGACCATAGTGGAAAGGGGACTTCTAGTATAATCCCTTCTTTCGGTGTGTCTTGGCCTGCATTTTGCTTCTCCTACAGATTTCGCAATATCTGTTTTTGGGGAAGTGGGTCAGTTGATGACCTGTAACTCTAGCTTTTGTCTAAGCGATGGAGTCCATGGATGGAGGAAATCCTCTGAGTCCAACGCAGTGTCGCCTGGCTCCCTTTCAGGAACGGAAGCAAAGAGTTCATCTGCCTCACTAACACTACCGAAGTGCGGGACCTTTTTTGGTAGTTTCAACGGCTTTTTGCTTCTAGGCAAATCGTCTGGATGCACAGGTTCAGGCGGTGGTTCCCGGGAGCTGTTCTTTGAACATCTGCCACTTGTGCCTGCGAATTCCCTTGGACCATTGCAACCCTTTGGTTTGCATCCCGGACTGCACTATCGAAAAAGAAGAGCTGCCCTTTGAGTCTCTAATCTAGCCCTGGCGATCTCTTGGTGAGCTTCGGCAACAATGGCTGGGTCCGCAACGACGTTCAACTGGTTCAGTGTTTGTTTTTGCACCTGAACAAAACTGGGCCTTGGTTGGTCTTCTTCCATGGGGTCAGTACTAGATGATATATCTGCAACTGGGGTACTTGCTGCCACGGCAAAACCCTGGGACGCCGGCGCGATTTCTCCTGACGAAATCATTGTTGATAGTGTCGGAACAGCTTCTCCAAGTCCTCACTGCAACCTGCCAAAAAAGGGCCTAACCACCTCAGCTCTTTCGGCCGATGGCTTCCTCCTCAGCTTGATGTGCGCAGTATGGATTGTCGGATTGAGCTGCTCTTGGGCCTTTGCGAACTCTGCAATCACACGGACGTTGTCGTCCACAATGCAAATCGGAATCAAAAAGCCTCGGGAGATCTTTCTGGCCGTCGCCAATTTACCTGTCACCCCTTCCCTCTCACGAGTCACGAACAATGCTTGAATCAGGTCCTCCTCAATGATCTCACTTGTACCGTTGCAAGCTCTCAAGAGTCCCTCCAAATTTCTTGAAGATGTCTCAATGTGGCTCAATACAAAGATCAACAATGAACCCTTATTGCCCCAAACACGCTCTGCTGACTCCTTCGCACGTCTCAAGAAAACTACGTTGTCTCTTGGGATCTTATGCATCCACGATGCTGACTCGGCCACGCCTCTGTCAAGCACTTGATGGTAATCGGGGAAAAGAATGAACTTGCGCTCAACTCCACTTCCCGGCAACAATCCGTTGAAGTCCCAATACGATCTCAACTCCTCAAAGCTATCGCCCGCCCGGCCTTGCGACCTCTCGTAGGCAAGAACTCCGTCCGGGAGCAAGAATGGATTCGGCCTCAACAACTGCACAGGCGTCGCCTTCGGAGGCGGCGACTTCGATGTAGTCGACGCTTCAGCTGCTGCTGTCGGAGCCGCCTTTGGTGGCGGCTTTGGCAAGACTTTCGCAATGGCCTTTGGAGTGGATGTCGGACGAAGCACCTCTGTCGGACGAATCACCTCTCGGATCGGTTCCAAGTCTCCTGATGATGCCGCCTTCGACTGATGAATCGCGACGCTCCGTGCACTCAGTTCTGTAACCTCACGCTCGACTCCAAGTTCTGTAGCCCTGCTCTGCGGAACTCCTTTAGAAGTTGTCGCAAGTCTCACCTTCGGCTTTGCTGGCACCGGCACCGAAACAATCTGTGATGTCTCAACTGTTGCCTTCGATGGCACCGAAATGACCTGTGTCGCAAAGACTGGAACAATCGGTGGCGCTGGCTTCGCCTTCTGGGCCGGCGGCTCAAGAACGGTTGAAGATCCTGCTTCCTCCTCTTCGGATTCAGTCTCTCCCCAATCCTGTCCACCCTGTAGAACAGACTCAACAATTGAAAATACGCGCAGCGTAGGCGTGTCCGCCAGGAAGAACAAAAGAATATCTGTTCGAGTAAAGCCCTTGTGCAATCCCCTCTTGCAAATGCCTCAGCTTCTGGTTGTACCCTCGCCTCCCGCCCCTCGGAGCTGGCACGCAACGCCGAAGAGTGTCGCCAATCAGCTCAGTTGGTTCAACGCTCGGATCAACGTAGGAGGTAATGGCGACGGCACAACCGTAGGCACAGAGCCTAAGGCTGATAACCACAAAAACGCGAGACCCGACGCCCGCACGCGCCTTTTCTCGCAGAGGCCTTGAGCCAAACGTTCGCATGACAAGTCTGTCCTTGACCAGAACCCTTTTGGTTAACTGGTGATTCCCTAGCATGAGAGGAAACAGTCCTGCAATGCTCATGTGAAACTGGACAAGCATTTAAGGGTTACCGTTCCATGGTGCACTTCTTCTGAAAATCTGCAAAATAACACCGCAAACAACTCCTTCCTTATGCACCGCGTCGGAACAGGGCCTTGTGGCACGCGGTAGAGCTCAGTCTCCTCCTCCAAACAAAGCTCACGTCAAATCCATTGGGGAAACCCGATTTCTGCAGAAAAAAACACATTCATAGAAACGACTTCAGCACCTTCTCTCCCCTCAATAAAAGCAACGAATGGTTTTCCAGTCGAACTCCCTCAGGGTAGCGCATGGGCTTCATGCACCCGACATATGTTGAACATCCGATCAGTCCTGAAGCCTTGAGAAGGCACCCAGAATCGCAAGGCATTCACAAGCCCTCACAGCTGAAGAGAGGTCAGACCTCCAAGGACGCCCAAGTTGGGAAGATCTTTTGATGTGCCACTGAGAGTAAGGCCGATCAACATCTGATCTCATCACATCCACAACCTGGCAAGTCTGGGATAACCCACCTGATCAATTGTTGGTAAGTCTTGGCCTCCTCCAAGCAGTCACCGAGAAATGTCAAGGCTCCTGCCTGCAGCTCCCGGGAGCTGTTGTCGGATGTTCCGAAATGATGGAGACGGGCATGATTTGCTTACTTAAAATGTACAGAATTCAGACTTTTGACGTGCTGTTCCTCTTTTTTCTATTTCTTGCACTGGGTGCGGAGGGCTGTTCAATCTCACAACACCCATCTATGCACCAGTGGGCACTTAGGTGAAACACCTAGGTAGCCGATGGTGTCTTGAGTCTACTTTGGACTCTGAGACTGCAACTTTGCAATCACCCAAGTGCAATCAATTACCAGAACATTGACCAATGAAACATAAGAACATTTAGCTACGCTAAAGAGAAATCTCCTCTCAAGTTCTACAACTCTGTCAAGCCAGCCCGCAACTTGACCAATCTTGTGAACCAAAGAAGCTGAGGGGCATCGAGTCACTGGAAACTTGCGAATCTTCGACTCGGATTATGCACTTTGCTTCACTTGCTCCAGGATCAAGTCCACCTCTGCGAGGCAAAGAATGAATATGAAGGACAAAAAAAAGCCCAAGATCGAAAATGCTGGCCTTACTCAGTGCGTCCCAAAGCTTCCGCCCCTTCGTCTTCAGAAATTCCGCATCGACCTCAGGTCGCCCAGTCTGATGCTTTTTACGAACCTCATCTGAAGCTTCATCCAACTCTGAAGCGTTGAAAAAAGCTTCCGAAAAAAGCAGGGTGCAAATCTGCTCAGTCTGACCAACAGCTTCGTCCCATCTGCAACAAATCCACAGGCCTCTCCAAACTGAGAAAGCTTTGAATCGAGCAACAAATGTTGCATTGCTTCCATCTTTGAATGACATAGTGGCTTCGTTGGCCTCTAAGACTGCAATGGCCCCTTCCACAGATGCAACCTTGCTGCGGAAGTTGTTGTTCTCGCCTTGGAAGTGCTTGCCACGCATGTTAAAAGAGACACCGAAAACCCAGTCACCTGCCAAATCAATCCAAGAACACCCAAGGGAAGCACAATTGATGGACTGGTACTTTGGTTCCTGCAAGTCATTGGTGTCACTGGTATTGTGGCACCCAAATCATCTTGCAGACCGACCGGTGAAAACGCCTGACCGGCAGCGCCGGTCAACCCTCTTTCCGGTCGCCTGTGGGTGTTTGGCTAAGTTGCTGATGTAAGCCCGCAGCGTCTGCCTTAGAAAAGAGCTGAGAGATGGGCAGTTTCATTTCTTCTCTGACCTAAGAGGCCTACAAGCATGTGGCAAGCTCAGAAGGATCACGCTTTAGGTGAAGTCTTCGCAAAGCCTAGGGCAACTTCTCCGCAGCCAGCCGTGTCACTCGCCGAATTCACCGACCCTTCACGATCGATTCGGCCTGCAAGGCTGTGACGAGGGCATCACTCTCACGTTCGCCACTGGCCTGGCCGACGGTCTTGACGTCGGTTTAAGTGAAACAAATGCACTGAGACAACCTCAGCTTCTTTGCGCTTGAACTCCGCCTGCGAAAGAGACTCAAATAAGCTCAAATAGCTGTGCATCAGTGCATAAGCTGAAAAGAATCCTGCAAAACGACCATCTTCAATCGCATCTTCTATGAAATGGATGCATTGATGCATTGAATATCCAGCTACTGATAGGGTGGAGGCCGCCGCTATTAGGGTGGAGGCCATCGCTAGTAGGTTGGAGGCCGTCCCTAGCCATCGCTAGTAGGTTGGAAGCCATCGCTATTAGGATGGAGGCAGGCCATTGCTATTAAAAACGATCTGACAAGCATCTCACCGAGCCGCTCACCTCCTCTCGCTCCCGTCTAAGCTCTTCTGCTTCCCGCGCTTCGAAGCGTTCGGCTGCGGCGGCCTAGGCGCCGGCTCCGGGTAGAGAAAGAATCGATTTGGTGCTTTGGCAGACGCGGAAGGTGCTAGAAGTATGATGAACAAAGCTGCAGTTTTTTGCTGCCCCAAATAAGATGGGCCATGAGAAGAACATATATACGTAACGAAACCATCAGCACCAAAAAATGGTGAGGAACAACAGAAATTAACTACAGAGTAATGCTTGACTCCATCTTTGTACTCAAATCAGCTTTTCTATGGTGTATATTCAAGAGTCTCAAGAGCAAGCCTCCTAGTATCCTAGTTGGGTGGTCTTGTGTTTACTATGGGAAAGCGTTGCGAGAAAAACAACAGTAAAAATATGCTTTTAAAAATGTCGAGCAAAAATCCTAACATCTCCTAACATGCAAAGGTCTCGCGGCACTGTACTCTTGGCTTCCAGCTGCTTCAGCCGAAGGAGCCTACTGGAGGGCTCAAGGAGTCACCATTCAGCTTGAGACGACTTGAGTCCAATTGCTTCAGATCATCCGACGTCTTCACACCATCCTACCATCGATCAAACTCCACCTGGGGAGCCGCTGGAGCTTGTGGAGCCACAGGAGCTGCCGCCTTCTCAGTCTCAGCCTGCAGAGAGGGAGAGCGCCAAAACGAAGAAAGAAAAGATATATGTATATATATAATTGATTCTTATGTTCTTCTGTCTGTCTTGCTGTCTTGTTCTGATATCTGAGCAAAGAAGAGTATGCGTTCTCGTATGACTGGCACAAGCATTGTGGCCAATGAATTCGCATGCAATCTTGTGCCTGGCTACTTGTGGTGCTTCTTGCCACAGAGCTTGCTTGGGGAGCTCGAGCCTTACACATTTCAACCTGGCTGAGGGCTGCAGGGAAGATCCAACGTAAGGGTCTATGAAACGTGAGGGCGGTTTTTCAAGCAAAATGACTCGGCGAGCAGGCGGAGCAATTGACCGATTTCGTGGAAAATAGCCGCATTGACACGCCACAACCGGAGCTCCCGGAGCTGCCGGCCGCGCTCCCCCTGGCGTTCACCCACCTGTGGCGCTGGAAGAGCTGTCGGCGCTGGCGCTGCGCCGAGAGAGCGCCGTTGAGCCTGTGGACGCTGGACCGGTGAGACACGACCGGTGAGACGCCGTACGGCGAGGACGGGCAAAAGCACTTCACGACCGGCTTCGCAGCGGATCTCGAAGATCTGTCGCCTTCGTAGCGGTTGCTGTAGAGCTTGCTTGCCGACTTCCAGCCTTTCACGCAATTGAAATGGTTCTTGTAGTTGAGGGATGAAATTGGAAGAAAACGTATACAAGGAACCAGAACGATTGAGAAGCTCCCAAAAGGATAGTCAGCCTGGTTGCCGTAAAGTAGTGCAGGGCTCCCAACCGCAGCAACACCGGACGTTGTGCTGGAGCCGAGCGAGCTAAGCGAGCTGAGCGCCGGCCGTGGTGCCTCTGGCGACAGTGACACCAACTGTGATTGTTGTGTGTTGTTGGCATTGCTTTTTGCCCTGAACATGAGGCCACAAATGTAAGTCCGGCTTGGTTCCAGTCAGGAAGGCCACAAGCAAACGGCATCTCCTGCCTTGATTGGCACTTTGCTTTCTGACACGCCCAATGCTGAGTCGGGCTTGAATGCATGCCGCTGAGATCCTGCCTATCAGCAAATAGACAAAGAAACAAATCAAAGTGAACTATTCTTTGTTTGGAGGCCATCGCTAGTAGGGTGGAGGCCATCGCTACTAGGGTGGAGGCCGTTTCATCAGCATCTGCCTTGGGTGGCCTATTGCTCATCCCCGCAGCCGAACTCGACACTGAACTCGAGCTTAATGTGTGCCGCGGAGCTCCAACCTTTCCATGTGACGATCCCACCCAAATTCGATCAATCCTTTGGTACAAGCAACTCTAAAAACTTGGTCCAAGTCGCGTGGGCAATATTTCTGCTAGCTGATTCTGCCCCAGATGAGCTCAAGATGGGTCGTTGTACTCCAACCTGTCAAGCGTCAAAGTCAATGCCGCAATCACTGCCAGAGCCGCATCCAAGGCGCAGCTCGCGCCTTGGATGCAGGCTGCGCCTTGGGTCGTCCACTTGCGTCCTCCACTTTGGGAGCTTTCCGAGGCTTCTCCTGACGCAGCTCGCTCCGTCTTCCGCAGTGTCCGACCAATGCCATTGGGCCTTCTCCACGGTCTTCTCGGTATTGGGACGCCGAGCAGGCTGCCTGCGAAGGTCCCAAATCGGAAAAAGAACGCAAAATCCTTGGGAATGCAGAAATGATGAGAATCGCAATTACAAGTTGTTTCTGTTCTTGGAAATGCAGAAAATGGGGCGCTGATGTGTTTTGTTGGATTGAATTCTGCGCTCCACATGTTCAAAACTCAAAGGATCTTTCCTAGTGTTCTCCAGCCTGGGTGGACGCGCTTCATCGGCCTCACTTCCAGGTGTGAGGCTCAGCATGAAAAAGAGCAAGACCAGAATCATCAACTTTGATGTACCTACAGTATCTACCTATGTACACTAGGTTTTTGCAAGCTTGATGGTGCCTGATGGTGCACATTGCAACTTAATCTTCCTTCTATGCTCTGAGAAAGTGCTTGTCAGCATCTCAGCCGTCCACGAAGGCATTCACATGGCTTGTCTGGCTCACCGCTGGTTCCTTCACAATATCACTCAGAATTTGCACTTGAAGTGCTGAGGCAAATACGCCAAAGAGGACGTCCTGAACTTTCTCCCCCGACACCTGAGCTACCATGGCGACAAGGGAAATGCGAAAATGACTTGGAGCCAAGCAACTGCTGGAAAGGGTCTAACTTCCTGCGGTAACAACCTTAGCATTGTGACGTCTAATGCACACAAATTCAAAGCATATTATGGCATGCGTGAGAGAGTGATCAGTGACACCCACTAATTATACGTTCCAGGTCAGGTGTTGATTCATCGTCCAGGGCTGCCACCTTGCAGCGCCATTCCCAACCGAAGAGGCAGACGGCGATTCAGCTGTGTTGACCCACCCGTCTGGAACACCTGAGCCGTCTGGCGATGTCAGTACCTTTCGGCGTGTTTGGGCCATGGATGTCCAGCTTCGGAAGACAATGAGGCTCAAACCAACCGGAGATGCTCTCGCAGGTGAGCTTCTGAGTGATCCTGCAGTCTCTGAAGAGCGCCACGGCACGCATGGCACGCACGGCACATGGTGAACATCGCTTCTCCTTGCTCGGGATAGGAACGAGCAGCTCGTCTGTGGCTGGCAGCACAAGCAGCACAAATCGATCCGTCAAGTTGAACCGTTCATGTTCATCTCACGCAGCACCAGCAGCGCAAAAGGCTCAAAGTAGCAACCATACGCTGTGCCTGGACAAATGAGTTGCGGCCTTAGTTTCAGGTCCACAGCAACGACAAATGGCAACACCACCATTGAAGTCACTCAAGTCCTGTGCACGCAAACACCCTTTTCTCGCTCGCGTAGCAGACCAGCCAAATTGGACTCGAGTCATGTCTCTCACTCTATGCACAAAGCACACAAACACCACCAACTGCCTTGATCTTTTCCTCAGCCTCATCACGGCCAACTCGGCCATTGATTTGCATTGCATGTGTTTAAGAACCATTCTGTTGTGCTCCCTTCGGCCTCCTTCGTGAAATAGCGAGCTTTCACAATCACAGGCTGTTCTGGCAGCTTGCCTTTTCCACACACCTGCAACACATTGGCACCAAATGCATCCAAATGCCACTATCACAAGCAACAAGTCCAAACAAAACTCGACAACCTCCAAAATCAAGCAGCTTAGCTGCATCACGCAGATTTGCCACAAGGCCACGAGCCTTCATGTAGCCAGCCTTCATGACGTCGATCACTGGGGCCTTGTCTGTCTTGTCCTCACAACGAAACGGAATGTGTAAACTGATCGTGATCTACATGCATCTTGGAACGAGATTGTGCAAGGAACCAGCTCAATTCTTTTGAGTCCTTGTAGTACTCACGTGTCTTCTCCGACACCAAGGACCTCAGTCCACTCCATTTAGCCATAGAATATGGGCATGCCCATACCCAACATGTGCTGAAGTTGTGAACACACAGCACAAGAAGATGACCACAATCGCTCCACGTTGACGATCGGGATGACCTTGCCATGCTTGATGAGATGGAAGTTGCGCATACCGACCTGCTCACAGCAGCAGACGTGCACCGTTCCAGCGAGGAGGAGTAGAGTTCACTGCAAAAACATCAACATGCAACTCGGGTAGCTTAGGCTACCATTTCGTAAGTATGCATGCGGCACATCAAGCAAATCCTAGCTCGATTCCACTGCTTTTCAGAACAGGCACCTTTCCAAAGTAACCTGGATGGTACCTGGAAGGCAAGCATAGATCAGTTGATGTGTCCCAAATGATTCACACAAGCACTTCCACGTGGTTCGCTCACTTGTCGAAGTTGATTCGGTGGTGGTGCTGGCCACCAGAATTTCCACAACCACCAGGATGCTTGCGATGCTTTCCAATTCGGCCATGGCCTTTCCCAATACACTTCCAAAGTGGAGCCCTCAACTTAGAATCGCACACAA